TGCCTGCAGAGCCAGAGGTTGGGAGTTCAATGCCCTACTGTGCCTCCTTGACAGGGCTGGACTCTATGATCCAAAGGATCCCTTCCAGCTCTGCAGTTTTAAGATTATTATTATTTGGGAAAAGTCAGTTAAAGTAACTTATCAGGTGGAAGAAAATAATCCTCTCCCTACTACAGTGGTGCCTCGCTAGATGATGATAATCTATTCCACTAAATCGCTGTTTCGCAAAATCATTGTCTAGCAAAAAGCATTTCCCCATTGCAATGCATTGAAACCTGTTTAATGCATTCCAATGGGGAAGAATCGTCGTTGTTTAGCGAAGATCAGTCATAGGATAGTTGCTTTGCGAACCGCCAATCAGCTGTTTAAATCGCTGTCTTGCAAAGCTTAGGTCCCGAAAACACCTGTTTTGCAAGCCCGGAGGGAGCTGTCAAAATCGTCGTCTAGCGAAAATCGGTTTGCAAAACAGGGACCAAACATTGTCCAACGAAATTCCCCCATAGGAATCACTGTTTTGCGAATCGCTATAGTGATTGCAAAAAGCCAATGTCTAGCGAAAAAACTGTCATGTGGGGTAAGTGTCTAGCGAGGCACCACTGTATTTCTGTAACTATCTGTAAGAAACCCTTTCTAAACCACTAAATAGTAGTTGCAAAACTTATAAGGCAGAGTGCAACAGTCTCCTTAATATCCAAGTCTTCAGTAAAATGTGCCTCATCACCTCCAATACCAAAGAGCACTGACTATATCCCTGCTGGTCTCCAACCACCATGCTTGCAGTCAATGCTTTTTTTGCACTTTCCACCTTCAATACCAGGGCAATAACTAAATGCTCTGATTCAAGCAATAGAGCTTTTTTTGCACTTTCCACCTCCAATACCAGTACAAGAGATCTCAATAACTAAATGCTCTGATTCAAGCAATACTGAGGCCACTCTGACCAACAAAAATTCAATGATGATGACTAAGACTGTGCCGTTCACAGTCCTGTCTTCTTCCTGGCTAGGATCACCAGTGCTGATTTTGACTGTCACAACATTGCTACCGGCATCAGGGTTGATCTTGGTTCCAATGTCCTTGTCTATTCAGATGCTGTTAGATTCAATGGAGGGTCCTTCACTACTTTCTCCAGAGTCCTCATGCCAAAGGCCATTTGGAGATCAGAAAGGTATCAGAGAGTGAGATATCTGAACATACATCTATATGTTGTAACTGCACCCTGCTGCCTCAAGTCTTCCCAAGTTATCCTTGTTTCTATTTTGATCCATGACTGGAAACTGTAGGTGTTTTGAAACAACCGGGTTTATCAAACTTCAACAAGGTGCTTCCACAGGAACATTAACAATGAACACAGGAATGTTCTTGCCTAAAGTTAGCTTGACCTTCTCATCCACAAACTCCCTTCTTATTATTTCCGTGGACTCAGCCCCTGCTCCTCTTTATAGCACGGCTTACTTGTCCTGTGAGGAGGCTTTCCCTGTCTTCCATCTTTTTCTCGACTAGGTGAGAGTTTCCTAAACTCACCCCTGGGTACTGGACCAGGATACTGAAGTGACAACTGAAGATCACTTCTCTTCTCTTTTGCTCTCTCCTTCTCTTCTCTCTTCCCTCCCATTCACCCCAAAAGGAAGGGTTTCTGGGGAGGGGGTTGCTAATTATTTTTTTATTTTGGAAGGCACATGAGTCATACCAATGAGACAAAGTCACATACACCCCAACATAAAAGAGGAACTTTTTCATTAGTCACAGTCTGATGCTGACAGTGACATAACTCCTGCTGTGCTGGCACAGCTATGCAAGATGATACTGGCTAAAGTAATAAAAACTTCTACAATGAACTCTCAAAGTGTTTGTAATTTACATGGCTGTCCATGCATTATCTCCAAACAAAACAAACTGACAAATGCTATTTTGTTTCAGATGGATCAGTTTTACTCTCTCTCCATTTAACTTGGTTTATTATATTCTCCATAACTGGATTTCTCACATTAGTGTTATTCTGGACTAACTATGCAAGAGGTTTTTGGTCAATAACTAAACTTGACCTTAGATAACATGAAATGTGATAGCCTTAAAGTTAATCTCTAAATTGAATCACTGGCTCTCCGAGATCCTCAGATAAATTATACTTTTCTCTGTTGGTGAAGAATAAAATTAAAGTATGATTTGGATTAGAGATGGGCACAACCTCAGTTCAGAATTTCATACTGGTTCATACATGTGGTGCATTCCTTTCCGCTACCTCCCCAGCTAATAATCCACTCACTAATCACAACATGCTCCGCTCTTCCTCCTCTTCGGCTGTTTGACCTGTCCCTGCCAGGAGCATGAGTTTGCATGTCCTGCCTCCTCGTCTAAGTGGGTGATCAGCCAAGGAGATGGGGCAGGGAAGCCTATGCTCCTGCCAGAGATTGGTCAAACAGCTGAAGGGGAGGTTGAGAGGAGTGTGAGCCAGCTGGTGAGTGGGGGGATTCCAGTCAAGGAGGCAGGGGAGTGCAACAGTCCCTCTGAACCAATGTTCATGCCCATCTCTACTTTGGATCAACCCACTGAAAACAATGGAACAAATTAGTCCCTTCTCTCTTGTCCTTTCAAACAACAAGCAAAGACCTTCCTTCTTTTTCAAAAAGTGTTTCAAAGTGTTCAAAGAAATGGTTTTTAATATATTTTTAGAATTATATTTCAGATTTATTATGTTGTTTTAATTGATTGAGAGTTGCTTTGAATCACATTCACTATAATTTAATTTGATAGTCATGAGCAAGGTAAGTTTCACTGGCTGAAACCCTCTTTGTGCATGTTCTACAGCATATGACATCATCAACCATGACAATTTTGGGGGAATTAAGCATTTCTAAGAGTCCAAAGATCCCAAGCAATGCCTTTCCTTGTCAAGAACCTGTGGGAGCCAAGGGTAATGGTAAAGGTTCCCCTTGACATTTTTAGTCCAGTCGTGTCCGTCTCTAGGGGGCGGTGTTCATCCCGTTTTCAAGCCGTAGAGCCAGCGCTTGTCCAAACACAATTTCCATTGTCACATGGCCAGCGTGACTAGGGAATGCCGTTTTACCTTCCCACCAAGGTGGTACCTATTTATCTACTCGCATTTGCATGCTTTCGAACTGCTAGGTTGGCGAGGAGCAGGGACAAAGCGACGGGAGCTCACTCCATCACGTGGATTCTATCTTATGACTGCTGGTCTTACGATCCTGCAGCACAGGCTTCTGCAGTTTAGCCCACAGTGCCACCACGTCCCTGGGAGCCAAGGGACCAGAGGGCAAATCTTTAATTGGTGGTCCTGAGCTGACTAGATAGGCGGGATATAAATAAAATAAATAATAATAATAATTGCCAATGCCAAGGTGATTTTACTGTTGACTGCAATTTTCAGCTCTGTTAAAAACATAAAATATGTTGAAATAGAACTCTAAGACCAAACGGTTCCAAGCCTAAATGTGGCAAAATGGAACTGAAGGCTGAGGCGGGGGGAGCATGCGCGATAGGGGCAACTCTAAACTTTGTTACTTTTTTACAAAAGCTCTAGAAGATTCCGAGAGGACCAGCACAGGCGCTGTCAAAACCCTATTGTGTGCATTCACAGAGGCCACAAAGAAACAAAGGTTTTCATCTTGAGTGTGCCCCTGAATTCACACTTGAGTCTGAATGCCCAGGTTTTGGCAGCAGTCCCGAGGTTTTTTTCGCACTTAAAATTAGTGTTCCAGTGGTGCCCATTCCTGAGGATGTCTAAACTGGCCACAGTGACATATGCCCTAGTTACACACTGTATGGATTACTGTAGTGTGCTCTACATGGGGCCATCTTTGGAAAATGTTCAGGAACTTCAGCAGGTCCAAAATGCCACTGCCAGATTATTAACTGGAGCTGGTTAAAGGAATCACCTAATTCCTGTTACAACAGCTAAAATGGCTGCTGGTCCAATTCTCGGCATAATTCAAAGTGCTGGTTTATACTGATAAAGCCCTAAATGGACTGGGCCCAGGCTATCTGAAAGACTGCATCTCCCTTTATAAGCCTGTCCAAGTTTTAAAATGTTTACGAGAGGTCTTTCTCTCTGTCCCACCACCCTTGTAGGTGCATATAGTGAGGACACAAAAGTGAGCTCTGGAACTCCTTCTCATGGAATGTCAGGCTGGCCTCAATCTTTGCTGTGCTCCCACAGGTGTGCCAAGTCCATTTTCTGTCCAGCCTTTCTGCTCAGCTGGTATCCAGAATTTTAAGTTAAACGGTCAGGCACCAGAGTTTTATTCAAGAAATAAAGATGTTATTGTGATCCATTCTCCTGAGTCTCTACGAATATATTATTTATTCAAAGTATACATTTGGGGTAGACTGTATCATTAAATTAATGTTTTAAACAGTACTGATTTTGTTGATTGTTCTAAGCACCCAAAATATGCGGTATAAAATTAAAATAATTCTACTGAGCTTCAGGCAATTGAATCTTGAAATTTTTTTTAAAAAAGCTTTACAGTTATAAGTACAGGGCAGAGAAACCAACACAGGAAAACCTAACTGCAAAAGGCTTTATCACATCTCACAAAAAGTTTGATCATGGTGCAGGACCAAATGCTGGACTGCTGGTATTGGAACAGTGAGCTTCAATGAAAGCTTCCCACTACAACTCTTTAACAGTAAACACTCAAAACCCAACTTTGCAGGACTGAAAAACAATCCTAGTTACTCCAAGAGCTACAGGAGAGAGAAGAGGGCAAGAAAGAATATCACACTGATGTGCAGCAGAAATGCTATGTTCAATTTCAGCCTAAATAAATAAACATGAGGCTTAGTTCCTTCAGTCAGACAACATTCTGAAAGGCATTGTACACACATATAAATCTTTTAATGCATTACTACCTAACAACCAATAAAAAAGGTACATGCATAGTCTTGCCTATTAAAGAGAAGTGCACGGATACACACAAATACAATGAGAGCTGAAGTGTAATTTTTTAAAAAAAAAACATTTAATGTGAATCTCTTACCGGGTTTCTCCTTGCCTGTGCCTTTTGAGTCAGCAAATTTTTGTATCAAACTTTCAACTGTTGTGTTTGCCATGTTATTTATAAATTCTTCATGGACCTTTGAGAAAGAGAACATTATTAAAGACAGCTTGATTGAGTGTGGTAACGGATACACATTACCTTCCATAATACGCACTTTTAAGCAAAAAGTGTCAGATTGGGACTTGGCTAGGACTCAGAAAACCATTAAACTAGCCCCGTTCTGTTCTGTTTCATTTTCTTTACCACAATCTTTATAATGGGCCATAATCTGCTGTCGCCTAAACCAAGCTGAGGAGTCACTCATCACTAGTGTTAAATGAACTTATTTCTTAGCTGAGTTTTTTCTTTTTCTCCCCCCCCCTTTTTTTAACCAGTGCACATACAGAGTTCCTGTATAATGAAAAAATAAGAGAAATTGAGAATGTTACCGAAATATGATTTATTTAATTTATATGCTACCTCTCTGGTCAGTTACCCTAAAAATAGGTGGAACTTTGCTTATAATGTGTAACATTAGCAAAGTAATGTATAGAGTATACTGCAAAAACAAGCAAAACAGGGATATGTATGGAAGATATTAAAAACCAATACATCACCATTTGCTTATTAACATACTTTTATTTCTAAACTTTTCAACATTAAGACACTAGAAGTAGCAGCAGCACAATCTACAAGTTCCTGAAAGCCTCCTGCCTCATCACATTCATCCAAAACTCATTCACCCTCCCTAGGCAACTAATTACAACAGATTAAGCAACAATTATAGCATATCAGTAATTTCTAAGGCCTATAACATTCAGATAAATTAAACATACTCTAATTTGTAACAGAAATTACAAATAAAACTTACCTCACCAATTTGCAAATGAACTTCTTTTACTGTATTTGAAAAGCTCTCTATAATTTCTTTCATGTGGAAAAGATGCATTTCTTCAATATCTTGAAATTTCTGCACCATAAACAAGATTTAGTTAACAACAATGAAAAGAAAAAAAACAACTTACAAGAAAACAGCACCTCAGGTGGTGAACATACAAGATTTGGGTGCAACGTTCCCTCTAATTTTTGGCCCCGCTGCACAGGAGCCTTGCCCTTTGCATGTGTGCATGGCGGGGTGTGTGTTTCCAACTGAAACTGGAACTAAATAGGCAAGCACATTGGCATGCACACATGCAGCTTAGATGGAATGTTTGGGGTGTGGTCCAGTAACAAATTTCCTTTCACATTTGGGGCTACCGAAATGTCAGCAAAAATGAAGACTTTCTTTTTAAGCCTTGATCTTAGTTCATCCTTGAACTGCTTACTATAGGAAAATATTTTCAATGATGACAATGTCACGTTTCTACTGACTATTAGCTCCTAAGCAGAAGAAATAGTAGAAACAGGAGCAACCATACAATCGAATGCACATATACACTCACCCACAGGCACATTATTTTCCTATGTTTTCTAGTATTTTATTCTAATATGTCATGTTATGGATAGATGTGATAAAGAATGAGAAGGAAAATTAAGTGTGATGTAAGACAAAAACCTCTATTTCTGAATATGAGAAATATCTCCAGACGTTTCCTCCCCAGATTTGTGCACTTGATGCCCAAAACCACTAACAGAGGTTAAAGCTGCAGAAAAACATGAACAAGCTCAGTCCTCAACCTAATACTTTCCAACTACACACAACATCTCAGTACAGTGGGGTCTCGACTTACGAACGGCTCGACATACGAACGTTTCGACTTACGAACCGCTCTCGTAGGAATATATGGACTCGACTTACGAACTTAGATTCGAGTTACAAACTCTTTTTTTCCTTTTTTTTAAAGCTAAGTCGTCTTAGGTTAAAAGGAAAAAAGAAATAAAATATCCCCCTCTAGTGGCAGAAGGCGGAATAGCAGCTTCCCATTAGTTTCTATGGATGAAAAGAGCAGATATGAATTAAATGGTTTTCAATGCATTCCTATGGGAAATGCAGATTTGACTTAAGAACTTTTCGACCTGAGAACTGCCTTCCAATACGGATTAAGTTCGTAAGTCGAGACCCCACTGTACATTAAGAACAAGTTGCACATCTATTATTGTTGTTCTGGGAATGCTTATCACTGCAAGCACATATACCAGTTTCGCACTTCAGCAGAGCTTCATTTCAGAGTTTACTTAGTTATGATTTTGGTGGGCACCACAACCCTACCTTTAGTGGAGAGAGACTATGGAACACTAACACTATCTTTTCACTAAATTAAGGCTTGGATGTGGTGAACAGGGATAACTCTCTGTGCGGTCAAACAGGCTGATTAAATGGGGAATACAAGAGTTCAAATTTACACTTAAAACTCCAAAGACGAAGGAAATCCAATTTTTTATTTTTGTTTTCATTTCTGCTCTATGTAACTCATGACACCATAGTACTGATGTATTATCCCGCATACAATGTTATGAATGTAAGTTTATCAAGGCAATTACAAAGATACTTATTTTTATTTGAACATATATGATTTGATATTTACAATCTAAATTCTCTGCAGACTGTTCATATCACTCTTCGGTTTAATCCTATAAACGTAATAATATTTTAAAACTAGTATGAAATTTATGCTGTTATTCCCGTATTTCCCATTATGGTAGAGCACTGCATTGGCTGCCTATCTGGTTGAGGGCGTATTTTAAAATCCTTGTCTTGACATTTAAAGTCCCATGTCTTTCTTGTCCTGATTATTTAGCAAAGCTGCCATGACATATTCCTCTTAAAGACAACTCAGTTCACATATTCCAGTCTGTTGTTGGTCCCTTGGACTAAGGTGGCAAATTCTAGGGTTTCGACATTTTCCTACTTGGCTCCAAAGCTGTGGAATTCCCTCCTCCAACACCTTCATGTGGAACCAGAATTAGATAAATTTAGACAAGGCTTGAAAACCTATTTGAGGTTTGGACATTTTCCTACTTGGCTGCAAAGCTGTGGAATTCCCTCCTCCGACACCTTCATGTGGAACCAGAATTAGACAAATTTAGACAAGGCTTGAAAACCTATTTGTTCAACTTGGAACCATAGGTGTAAGGTGCATGGAGAGATGAGTGACTGGTTTATTTTTACTTGAATGCTTTAACTGGTTTGTTGATAGTTATATTCTTCTATCACTTCTTGTTCTAAGGAATTTTATGTTGATGGTGCAGAATAATAATTTTCATTACTTTCTCTTCATCATAGGAAAGAGATGTGCATGAAAAGCATACATCAAGCATGCAATTTAAAGCTAAACTACTGTTCTAGAATATCACAAATGGCAAATATGTTAACAAACACAAAAGGGGCAAATCACCTGATCCACACTTTCTTTTTCCTTTGCCAAAGAAGTTCACAGTTTGCCTTAAATGGCAAACATATTTCAAATGGTTTTCATGTTTATTTTACATTAGTCCCAGACAAATGTGGAATCACAAATTATCTAGTGCATTTATACTGTATGTGCTCATGTTTATCTCTTGTTTTCCAACAGAACCATCAGCATGTATTTGAGAGTCCTATGATTTTAACATTCTGTTTTGAAAAATGAACCTATCACTATTTTATGTTTTTTTAAAAATCAGATACAAATTCCATAAATATTAATATTTATTAGAGGCCCAAGGCTTAGGTTTGCTGCACCACATTAAGGATCTCACATTTAGAAAATCTTATGATACAGAAACAGCTCTCTGACAAAGTGAAGGGCTGGATATTAATACTAAAAGAGCATTTTAGAATAAAAATGAGCCTGCCCAGGCTTGAAGACAATCAGGGGAGGATTTTCTCTCAGTCCTGCAACCCTCACAGGTGTGCTTGCTGGGGACACAGGAGAGGGCCGTCTTTGTTGCTACTCCCAAGTTCTGGAACTCCCTCCCATGGGAAGGTAGGCTGGCCTCGTCATTGCTGTCCTTCTGCAAGCAGGCAAAGCCCTTTCTGTTCAAGCAGTCTTTCCCTCGGGTGGTCTGATAGGGGATTTAAATGAATGGTTGTGCTCTGTTTTAGTATTGATTTTTTTTACTGTTTTTAATATAATGCTTATTTAATTCTTTTTTAATATTTCTATACCTACTCTTTTTAGCTTCTACATATTAGCTTTCTAATGATGCAAGTGTCCGTTTGAAAGGAGGGATAAAAATATTTGAAATAAATGCATACATACATAACTTTTAAACCACATAATAAATGACAAATAGCCTAATTAGATTAAGATGAAAGGATGAAAAAAATCAACATGTAAAAACAAAAGATTAGCTTAGCTCAATTTATATTATAAGCCGCTGATTCTCCTGTACTCTTACTTCTGCCAAAGAAATTCACCTTCTGAGCCCTAGAGATTTCAATCAATTTTGACCATTCACTAGGGATTCTCTTTGCCCAAATACCTTGCAAAATAATTAACAAGAGAGAACACGAGACTGTATATGAAGCAAACTGGAGAGTGCAAATAAAAACATAGCATACAACATATACTGTAGAATGGGGTTAGATCCAGACTTAGTTACACTTAACAGTGAATGGCAAACTGGAATCAACAAGACTTATGATAATAATAGAAAAATATGTCCCACTTATTTCAGGGGGTCTACTCTGAGGAAATTAAATAGATCCAGCCCACTGGAAACAAGGCTTACCTGTGCAGTTTCAGTCATTTTTTGTTCAAAATCAGATTTTGCTGTAGCATACTTTTCTACATATAATCTGTATGTATCAGTAGCTTTCTTGGATTTTACAGCTGCCTAAAGGAACAACAATACAGACAGGTATTGCAAGACAAACACTTTACAGTCAGTTTAATTATTACTCTCTCATCTGTAATGGTTTGCTGCCATCAAAGTAAATACCAGTTATCACCACACGGGGGCTCATGCAAACAACATACTGTACTATATAAAATGCAAAATCTTTATCTTCATTCGAAAGTAGAATGTGAGCATAGTTCAAGAAATAAATTTCAAAAATAATGGCAGAAATATTAAATGAAATATACATTGTAAGATCATAGTTGTAAGTGCTCTCTAAAAAATTTAAAACTCCAGAAGGGCCTATAGTTGCATGGAAAAGGAATAAAATAATGCAAATCATCTTTTCTCTACACAATTTTCAAGGTATATTTTATGTAAACCACAATAGGAGGAAAAAAGTCCTTCTGGAATTCCCACAAACATACTTCAGATTCTATCACACAATCATAATCTGTGTTACACTGTACCTCACCAGTACAATGATACTTTAATTTTAAAGAAAATTGATCATTATCACCAATGTTAAATTTAGACAAAGGTTCAAGATGGCATAGGTGGAATCTTTTTTTAAAAAAAGAAAAGTGTGAAGGGGTCAAATGAATGATGGACTGAAATATCTTTCCATTTTCAACAAGCTGAAAGGAAATCTTGCCTGTTTATGGCATCAGGGTCCAGTGCATACAGAAGGATTATAATGGTGGGCACTGGTTCTATTTTGTTTCTGCTGTTTTTTAAAACTAGGACCCCAGGATCCACCAGCAACAGACAGATATAAAAGCTGTACACAAAAAAGCAAAAGCATGCAGCTTATATACCATCCCACAGTGCTTTAAGCACTCTCTGGGCGGTTTACAAGTTAATTCTGCAGGCTACACATTGCCCCCCCCCGCGAGCTGGGTACTCATTTTACCGACCTCGGAAGGATAGAAGGCTGAGTCAACCTTGAGACAGCTACCTGGGATAGAACCCCAGGTCCTGAGCATAGCTTTGGCTGCAGTACAGCCGTTTAACCACTGTGCCACGAGGCTCAGCAGCAATGTGGTGTGTACATTTTTAGTTTTATATCATAACATCATTAATAAAGTCAGTGAGAAATAAGGCTCAGCAAAAGTTACCTTATCTATTTCTCTCTGTGTTGCACCCTCCTTTTTTAAACGCTCTTGTTCCACACATTTTGAATTGTAGTTTTCTTTTGATTTTTGGAGAGCTTGGGTAATACTCTGGATGTTTTGCACTGCTTCCAAAGTTCCTGAAACTTCTTCCTTAGTCTTTTAAATATTACATGTATGTTAAAAACTATTATTTTTTTAAAAACTTGAAGTAATTAAAATACATTTTTAAAACTTTATTACAGTCAAAGACCAGAAAAACCAAATCAATATAAAATAGATACAGATAATTACAGTTTCATAAAATCAGTCAGGGTAATAAAATTCCATTAAAACATGATAAAACAACCCCTTCTTTCCAGTTAATAACATCATATATCCTTAATATAAGTAAAACCTCAGCCAGTGTGTGACGGTTCTATGGATACCTCAGGCTTACCGGACATAAACACAGGAGACGCTTGTTCTTGAAAACCAGAACTAGGGTTTATTTGAACATCAAATAAAGAAGTATTAACGTTAAACTTATCATCAGTCTTTTCTCTCAGCGCCAATGGGTCAAACGAGGGTGCCCACACGTGTTGATAAAAGGGGTTGAAACTGGGTTCATACCAAGGTCCTTTGGTAAACGGGTTAGCTTCACCTGGTCCTTTAGCTTCAATGTCCACCTCTGTTAAGGGTAAGGTCTCCTCCTCTCCCCTTTCTGAGTCATAGAGGTTGGCTCCCTCTGCATAGGGGTCCCAGGATCCGGTAAATACCTCCTCTGGCGAGCCTCCTCCAGTCACCATGTTCTCCTTTCCTTCTCTTCTCTCTCTATCTTTCCCTTTTCCTCCCTCAAACGCCTCCTCCACTCTCTAGCTTCTGACTCAACCCAGTAAGATGGTCTGGGGGGTAAGCCTCTCATTCTGCGGTAGTCTGCCTCCTCTCGAGGCACCCTAACCTTCTCACATCTCCCTGTCCAGGGATCCTCTACCCAGATTAATTCCCATCCCCCGGGTATCTCGTCTTTTTCCTCCCTTAACTTTCCAAGCCCTGCCTCTACCAACGGTCGTTCCTCCACCCAGGTTCCCGCCTTTTCTGTCCTTGTCTGGGTAGCTACAGACATCTTCTTTATACCATTCCAAATCCCCAGTGTCTACACCCTGATGTCTGAACGCGATGCAAGTAGTCGCAGGCGTTGTCTGAGTCTCCTCTCTCTTAACTGAGGACGACACTCCGGTGAGGACTTCAAATAGCCTTGCCTCGGGTCTCACACAGTGTTATATTAAAAGCATTATATTATCCATCTAAAATCACCTTGAAGTAATTAAAATACATTTAAAAGTACACATAACCTTTTTATGAGCTTTGATCTGTTCATCACCGTATTTCTGCACTTCTTTTATTAGTTCTTGCAATTTTCGAACAAGTTCTAAGTGACAGCTTGCTAATTTTTCTGTTGATGATTTGAAAACATCCCAGACTGGTGAAAACGTCCTAAAATAAGAAGGAAAAAGATGTGCAACTTTAATCTTGAACCAGCATGTACCCAAGCTCATAACGAAGTGTCCTGTATAAAAAACAAAAATTCTGTTCCTTTACTTAATACTATGTAAAAAGTATATAAGCTTTTATTTTATTTATAACTTCTCCCACCCAAAAGGGATCTAAACCCTAGATTCAACAAATACCACTACTGTTTTTATTGCTATTCAATGCTATGTGAATATTCAGTTTATTAAAAATTCCTTGATTTACAGATAAAAAACAACAATTACAAATGCCTTTTCATCTACAGAACAGACACTATGTTAGTTATACAACCCAGTCCACCAAATTCTTATAGCCCTGACATGCAGGCCAAGTAGGATGTCACAAGCAGACTGATCAAGTAAATTATTCATGTTCTGATTCTAAAAATTAGGGATTCAGCTCTTAAAAAACTGTGGGTGAGGTGACACATTTTCAAATCACTGATTTTTTAATTTTTAGAAAGCAAACTAGAATCTTCAACTAAATAAGTAACCAACCATTCAATTAAATTAGTAACCAATAGAATTATTCCAGTTAATAATATAGGAAGGAAGATGACCTGATCTTGCTTCCATATTCTTTTAATTTGTTATCTTAATGTTTGGTGCTTTGCAATTTTTATACTTTCTGTATTTTTGAGGTTGGTCATCGATAAAACTCCAACTTTTATAAGGCATGTTTTTCTTTGCTGCTTATTCAGGAGTAGGCCCATCTGAATCAATGGATGTAGGAGCTGACTCACCAAATCCCCAAAGATTCAATGAGCCTACTCTAATGTCATTTACTATGCTAAGCAACATTATTCTGGCTACTGAAACACTCCTTCAACATCTTTAAATTTATCTATCCAAGGCTTCTTAGTGTTTTAAAGAGGAATTGCATAAAGATGTCTTGCTTTACATATCAACTTACCCAACCTGTGAACAATTACTTGCTGATTTTGATAGCTTCATCATAGATCTTGAATAGGTCTCTTCTATTGCAGCCCTATTAACAACAAAAGGCAATCCTCAAGAATCTACACACAAAATCTATGCAAGCCTCAAACTAGTGCTCAATAAATTCAAACAACCTCTAGTTTACATGGAACATGGGATGCTGCTTTAATGTCCACAATTCAAAACACCAGGAAATCAAAATGGCAATTGCAGCCAAGAAATAAAACATTGAATCATGCTAGGTCGCACAGCTACAATGAATATGAATCATATATGGAAAAGTAAGGATGTCAGGTTGACAACCAAGTGCAGATTAATTTGCACCGTCATGTTCCCCATAACTACATATGACTATGAGAGTTGGATGAAGAAGATGGACAGAAGGAAAATTGATTCTTTTGAGCTATGGTGTTGGAGGAGGCTCTTGCACATCCCATGGACTGCAAAGATAACGAATACAGAAGTGCTGAATAAAACTGGACATGTCAGTTGAAAGCAAAATAACAAAACTTAGCTTCGTTATTTCGGCCATGTCATGCAATCAACATCATTGTAGAAAGTCACTATGCTTGGAATGCTCAGTGGTAAAAGATGATGAGGACACTAAAATGTGTTGGTTGGATGTAATCAAAGCAGACACTGGCCAAACTATAAAGCAGCTAAAAGATTTATATTCATTGTTGCTGTGTGACCTAGCATGATTCAATGTTTTATTTCTTGACTGCAACTGCCATTTGATTGACCAGTGAACCTAAAAAGTTTAATTCTTCTACAAATTCAACCTCCTCCTACATCTTACAACATAAAAATGTGAATGTAAAATGATAAACTTTGGTTCATTGTATAAAACATTAAAAATCAAGGAAAGGAAAATGAACATATTTTGCTCTCAGTGAGACTTTTGCTGCTCCTCCAACAATGACAGATATTTTATATGGCTTGCACTTAGTTCTTTTGAAAGCTATGAATATAGCATGAATTTCATCAACAAGCCCACTCTAATAATTAGACTTGACAGTTCATTACTTGATACATAGATTCTGCAGGTAAGGATGGGAGAAGAAAACTGGAAAAGTTCACACATGCCCAAAATGAGAGATTTCTAGCTCCCATGCTCAAAGAGAAAGGGGCAGTAAAGTAGTAGTGAGAATCCCCCCCTCTTCCTATTATTTCTACCTGTTCAAACAATCTTGTAAAGGCAATCATGAGAAATCTTTATTTATTCCTTGTCTTCCTCCCCATAATTAAAGTCAACAGAATACAAAACAAAACATTACTTCGAAGAACATGTGAAGCATCCCCTACCAAGAATCCCTTTTCCTTTGGCTTCTCTCAACCACAAATACCTACAACAAATACCTACAGCTACCATGTTCTCTAGACTCACAAAGAGAGTATGGCTCAATAAGAAGCTGACGACACATACGATGTGTCGGATTCCAAAGGATCTCCTGTATGGAGAATTAGTGCAGGGAAATCGCCCCAGAGGGAGACCCCAGCTGCGATACAAGGATATCTGCAAGCGAGATCTGAAGGCCTTAGGAATGGACCTCAACAGATGGGAAACCCTGACATCTGACCGTTCAGCCTGGAGGCAGGCATTGCATCTCGGCCTCTACCAATTTGAAGAGACCCTTGCCCAGCAGGCTGAGGCAAAGAGGAAGTCACAAAAGCAGCAAAACCAGGGAGCTGGACAGGGGACAGATTGGATTTGTCTTCAGTGTGGAAGAGACTGTCACTCTCGAATCGGCCTCCTCAGCCACACTAGACGCTGTTCCAAGTCCTCCATACAGAGCACGGTACCATAGTCTTTCGAGACTGAAGGATGCCTAACTAACTAACTAACCTACAACAGCACTGACCTACGACCTCTCCAAACCCAACTGGCAGAATCAAGAATTATATTCAGGGTTGGGGAGGGAAGGAGAGACCCCTTGCTCCTTTTGCAAATTGCAGACCCCTCTATTCTTCAATTAATACACTTTAGGGTAGCTCAGTGGTTTAGGTATCTGGCTGCAGAGCCAAAGTTTAAAAGTTCTGATTCCCCATTGTGCCTCCTGCCAGTAAAGCCAGCTGCACAATCCCTGGGTGCACCCACCAGAAGGGAATGGTAAACCATTTCTGACTACTCTGCCCAGAAAACCCTTAAAAAATCACCATAAGTCAGAATTTACTTGAATAAACATTGTGATTATCATGAAGGATTATTTTATTTTAGCAAATCTTAAGGGTGAGACCTTATAATTCCTTCTCCTCCAGTGTTCATGCAAAGGTCTCTGGGAAACCCCTTCTTGTCCCATACGCAAATAGGGGGAAAGAAGGGGGCAATGAGCATGTACAGCAAGCATTTATTTAAAAATTAATCGTATACAAAACAAGTATGTTAAGGTCATATATCTTCTAAACCAGTGGTTCTTAACCTTGGTTTACTCAGGTGTTTTTGGACTGCAACTCCCAGAAGCCTTCACCACCATCTGTGCTGGCTGGGGTTTCTGGTAGTTGCAGTTCAAAAACACCTGAGTAACCAAGGTTAAGAACCACTGTTCTAAACGACAGGACAGAGCAACCTTAAATTTTAAAAAAGCAGATAACAGAAATCATTCTCTTTCCAGGAACAGTAGTAGGTATTTGAATAATAAGTACAGAACTTGCTGTGTGTGCAAAACAATGGTAGCAAATTGATTAAAAAAAAAATGAGAACTTTAAAAGTTCGTTATTAGAACTCCTTCAAATTTGGCAAAAAGCAATTCCATATAATCAACTTCCCCTTCCAAATATAGCCCCAAATAATTCAAAGTATATAACTTTTTGTTTGGACTTATCTATTCAGAGCACGTTACCATAGACTCTCGAGACTGAAGGATGCTACTATCATTAATGATTTACAGAATGCTCTTTTGACTGGTCATGCAGTATCAAAAGTGTACTCTTAAACAACTCTTCAAAAAGGAAGATTAGCTACTACTTATGTCAGTCTAATCATCACTATTTTAACAAGTCCATGATTTAACAGTGTTCAATGTACCAATATGTCTGCTCAATTATGTATTTTTCATAATAGCCTCTTAAGCATGAACTGTCAGCCTATGCTGGTGATATGTTAGAAAAACAAGCTTTGCTCTAGACCTTGGATGTCAGGAATGTTCCTCTGGTCCAAGCACAAGGGCAGACATGAACAGAAACACAAACAGCAAGACAGTGGGCAATCTGCACAAACACATATATCCAGTAAGATACTGCAGTACAAATACAAAACTGATCAGAAGTCTGATGTTTGGAGGCTCCTCAACTCTATAATTCTACTTTCTGGAAAAAAGTAAAGGAAGGATCTTTTGATGAAAAACTGCTTGAATTTGCTTGTCCGTTCTCTTTCGTTAGGTTGTCTAAATCTTCTTTCTAGTTTATCTTTCTATCTCATTTAAATTTGTACAGAATGAGATAGAAACTTGTTCGACTGTGTCTGTTCCTATATAAATCTATCTTTAAGCTAAAATGCTCCTCAGTTGTTCTGTCTTATCCCCGTACCACCTGAAGTACAGCATAGTGTCAATACGGGACAGAGACTTCTCTGCAGTGGTTCTCAAAATCATGCAACTCAGTCTACTTTTTTTGTCACCTTCAGTTTTTGAAACATTCTTTAATGTTAGAATGCAAATATTTGCACTGTCTTAATGAACTTGCAAAACGCCTTGGATTTTTATATGCTGAAAAACATGAGTGGTTGTAAGTACTGTATTCATAATAATTATAATGACAACATTAGAAGAAGAGATGGAGAGAATATATAATCAGACAATGCATACAGCAACATCTGCTTAACCTTGCATGTGTTATACCTACAAACTGCAACTATCTAGCCTTCTAACACTAGATCCAGGAACAAGTCCAGTCTATAAACCTGATCTTTCAAAAAGAGTGCCACTGATTTGAGCATTCCCTGAAAATCTAGATCAAATAATATTGTGATATACTGGCCAAAATCCTTTTTGTACAGTTCTGCTTGCATGAAAAGACTGATGTCTTCATTAGCAACAGATTACCACTGATTAAAGACTTACTTTAAGATGTCAGGGTGTGTACGGCTCACATGTAATGAGTTGAAGTTGCATGGATCATAGCCAGCAGTAGTGATCAAGCAGCCTACACCAAAACAATGCTTGTTTAAAAAGCCTCGTAGCACAGTACTACAATTAAGACTCTGCTCACAACCCGAGTTCAATCCTGAACTCAAATAGCCAGCTCAAGGTTGACTCAACCATCCATCCTTCTGAGGTTGGTAAATTAAGTACCTAGCTCATGGTGGGTGAGGGGAATGAGCAATGTATAGCCTGCATAATTCAACAGTAAACTGCCCAGAGAGTGCTCTAAGCGCTATGGGTAGTATAGAAGCTGCACACTTTGCTTTGCTTTATGAGAAGCAAATCCAACAGTTATCTAGCAAACTGTATCATGTGAATGTCACCTTTGTATCTAAACAGGCCAAAGAGAAAGAAATGTGGAAACTACAGTGGTGCCTCGTATAACGAGTGCCCCGTTTAACGAAGAATCCGCATAGCGATGGCTTTTTTGCCATCGCTTTTGCGATCGTATTACGATGTTGCCTATGGGGAAAAATCGCTTTGCGATTTGTCCCCATAGGCACCATTTTCCCCCAGCTGAGCGGCGGGAGCCTCGGAAGGACCCCTCCCGCCGCTCAGCTGGGGAGAAATGCAGGCAGTAGCCTTGGAAGGACCTTTCCGAAGGGTCCTTCTGAGGCCACCGTCGGGATTCCCCTTCAGAGGGGGCATATTCCCCGAGCTGAGAGGGAGCTCCGCCACTCAGCTGGGGGAAAATGCCGGCGGTAGCCTCGGAAGGACCCTTCCGAAGGGGCCTTATGAGGCCACCGCCAGGATTCCCCTTCGGATGCCTGAAAGGCATCCAGATCCCTCCCACCCTGCCCCCGCGACCGGGATCCGCGTCCTGGCCTGCTACCCCCGCCATGGTCGGACTCTTGGGAATCCGATCATGGATGGGGTAGCCAGCCGCGAAGCAGATCCAAGTGGTGGGGACAGGGTGGGAGGGGTCCAGATGCCTTTCAGGCATCCTGGGCTTGGATCC